GAAACGTCAGCTCTGTCAAAGAAATATCTACCCTTACATAACGATCAATGACAACACAAGTAACTGTAATTTTTATGAACAATTACGAAAAGCAGCATCTTCTTCATGCAAGTACAGGTAGCTTCAGGGTAGCCCGACAGAAATTTTCTTTGGTGGTGAAACGACAATAAATTTCATACTGATCAATATATACCCAAAACCTTATTGACAACAGTAAAAAAAGGGTTCTAATTGAGTTAAAATTGAAATAATCTTGTTTTTAAAACGTAATATTTAACATTTATATAACCTCATGGACACTAATCTGTCTCCATTTTATTAGTAATAAATTTTCATAGAAAACCTACTCATCATTGGAAAAACTAGCTTTTCAACTCCAGTTTTTCATTAGCATTTAAGGAGTTTACGAGGTTCAGTGTTGATCCGAGATTGACTCCTGTTGATCTGAATTATACAAAACCTTTTCATTAACAACAGTAAAAAACGGCTTCTAATTGAGTTAAAATTGAAATATTCTTGNGCTGTCAAACCTACACTAGCAAGGAGATCGGGCTGAAACTATAGCTACAAGCTATCCAAGGATGGTACTATAGAATGTCACCTCAAGGTAGGCCTAGTGGCGTCATCTCTTGGTTAGGCCGGAAACTTATCAATCCACCCTCGTATACAAAACTGTTTTACCTGATACCGATTTGTCTAATTTCATAGATGAGTGTCTACATTTTTCGGGATTCCTCACAACTGTGCTTGTGATTCCCAGCACAGCCCTCCGATTAAGTCAAAAATGTCAAATACATAATTCGCATAACAATATCGTATTGCGATCAGGGAGAGTTTTTGATTAACTTTTTTGCGTCACAGCAGTCTCGAAAAAAAGTTCTTTTATAAATCCTTTTTGCGGAAATGGTATTATTATTTTTTATAACTAATATTTTACATTGTAGATGTGTGAAGAAAAACTGTAGATGAACAGATTTGCTTAATAATTATCCTTTAATTAATTTTATTTGATTGTTAACAAAAATAGGATTTGTGGATTTTTCTTGTATTAGGTAACCGTTACAAATATGTGTATATTAATTCAGATTTAATATTTCACGATTACAGAAAAATTTTGAAATTTAATAAACATATCAATTTAATATCTGCATAAACAATTTAATACAGAAAAACCTACTTGTTGTTACAAATCATAAAGTACTGATTATTTGAATAACAACAATTTTAGGTACGTATGTCGGAATTCCCTTATTAATCATTTAGTTTCCGATATTTTTGACGAATGTTTATTTATGTATTTATTTATTTACACCTCTCAATTTTACTAAACGTAATTCCCAAATCCGCATCGTCTGATTAACCTATATATATAGATATCCAAATATAAAAAATTCGAAATGCAGTAAAATTTAAAAGCACTTAAGTATTGTTTTTAAATTCAAATTTATTGTTCAGGAATCCGGTAAGAGAAATGTACCTGAAAGGATTTTTCTTTGTGGGATTTGAAGATAAACTCTAAATGGACTATTATCGTAAAAACCACTTCATTGTTTTACACATTTGAATGAATGAATTTTGTTGTGTTAAAGAAACGAATGAATTGACGGATGAAAGACAACATACAGAGACGTAGCTATAGTTTGGACGATCAAAATTAATCCGTAATAAATTATCTGTGAGAATGGACGTATCTTCTCTCTTGTTTCTACATGTGATAGTAGAGTCATTTGTTTCTGTTAAGTTAGGAAATGCTTCATGGGTAGTATAGACAATGTTTAGACCATTGCTTAGCATTCGGGAGGACGCCGGTTTGATTCCGGGTCCGTCTGCCTTGGTCTGTGGTTTCCTCGGATCACCTAGGCAAATGCTGGGGCAGTAATATATTCCACAAATAATCTTTCATTCTCTTCTGTCTTCATTTCGTCCGTCTCACCTTTCTCACCCGAACCACCCCCCACCCATTCCCACGATTCCTGAAAGCAGGCTGAAGAGGGCCTTCCGCCCTACCTTCCGGCCTAGTCCGGAGGGACTGCCCGCCCACCAGCATTACTGGTTGGTGGGAATGAAACACCCAAAAGTTTTTTTTTTTGTAAAAAGTGATAACCAAATAATAGTCCGCGGTGCAGCCGTAAGAGGTTGCTTAGGTACGCAAAAGATCAGGGTCGGCTTTGTAACTACTTGGTTGGAATTATATCCTTAAACAATCATCTTTGCATTCCTGAATTCCAGAAAATGTTGAACTTTATTTAAAGTCCGATGCTGGTAACATGCTTAAATTCTGCTTGTCTGCATCTCTTTCTTTTACACATTAATTGATGTAATGGTATTCCTTTTTCTTTATTTGTGTTCGCTGCAATTCCCACCTGGCATCTCTTTTCTATATTTAGGATATTCTGTCTGTCGTGAGTAGAAATAGGCGTTCTGTCAGCAACCACTCTAGTCTAGTTCGTGAGTTAAAAGAAGAAAGCAAATTCGACAGTTTTTGAACGCCCAAGTATAGGCGTCGGCAACGTCGGCCTCTACGACGGCCTAGCGCCTTGGGGAGCCTCGCAAAAAGGATCATTATTCTCCAAAAAATTGTACCACTCAATACCACATATCCATAACTATATGACAACATTAACTGTTATGAAAATCGCTACCTGAAGGACTCCTATCTTTGGGATTCCCAGTTTTACTTAGCAGCCCTATCGTTATATTTTGTGAAGTTCAATCCGTTACCATTTTTCCAGATCAAGACATGAAAAGGGTCTCGTCGACGTTCATGTTCGATTTAACTACGCCACTGTCAATGGACAACAGCCAAGAGCATGTCTTGCAAAAGTTTTAAAATTTGATAAAAGCTATCAGAGTTTTGTTACATACTTGGTTGTTATAATACAAAACGTAGAAGTTATTCTATTAAAGCTTAATCATTCTTTTCAAACGTTTATTCATTTGACCCAAAATAAATTTGTATTGAATTTACATCCTCTTACATAAGGACCAAGCCACGAAGCGACGTAATTTGTCTTAAGTTGGAAACGGATTATGTTTGAATCAATCAAAATCTTCAGAAAATACCGAGTATGTTACATCAGTCTTCTTCTTTTTCTTTATAACATTAAGTTCTAACATCGAAACTTAATTTTGCAAGAAACTAAATCTTCAATAGTTTTCCTTATAATTTATTACCCTGATACGGGATAAATAGATACTTCCTATTCCTGGTAATTTATAATGTCTTTTAGGATTTATTATTTGTTCATTTGTCGAAAATCCTAACTAATATTATAAGTGCTAATTTGGGTTTGCTTGTTGTTTGTTACGTTTTAACCCTTGAACTATTCAACCGATTATCATGAAATTTTGTACACATATTGCTAGGGTTACAGAAAATGACATAGTCCAGAAAAACAATACTGTTCCTAAGGGATAGAAAAATTAGTTTTATGTGATCGTCGATGATATTTGACATGTAGATATTTAATATATCAATCAACTCGAAACCACCGGTAAAACCTAATTTCCTATAAATTGACAAATTTTATTTCCTATAAATCCTAAAGAAACATTTGCCAAACTTTACTCGTTTGTTTTGAATCTCACACTTATGTAAAGATTATATTTCTAAGGATTTGTTAGAGGCATTCAGTGATAGTTCTTATAAATATAAACCAGCAGAAAGTTCAAATTTGAATAAACTTAAACATTCACTAAGGGCAGAAAATGAATTCAAAAGAACAGCTGTCTTATAATAATTATGTAAACAACATTTGACCTTGAAGTTTGACACTTTTTTGAAATTCAGAAGACGGTTTCTATTACAAGATCTGCTAAAATTCGTTTTTTTGTAAATTTTAGTACTACCAACTACAGAGGTGTCAAGCGCTCCAATTAAGAAAATGTCTTGCTTAAATACCTTATGATTTTATGATCATGCACTATGAAGTTTTTGACAATATTGTTAAAAATTAATGAGAAATATTACTTATCTATCAGATGACTATTTATCTATTATTATTATTAGATGTTACTTTGGAAAGAATTTATTGTTTTAAATTTTAATGTGGGCCAGTAGTTTCTACAAAAGTAAAAATATGGAGATACTTAAATATCCAAAAAACTTACCATTTAGACCACTATGCGTCAACTACTTTTCCTGTAAAAAAAAAATAAAATTAAATAGAAGCTATAACCACAATTTACATTACAATAATGTCAATTTATTTGTATGTCTGTACGTGTGGTCAAAATGGTTAGTCCAATTGAAAAATGTAATTTAAAATATATATATAATTGATGAAGAAGGACGTCAAGTATGGATAACCAAAACTACCTACCAAAAACCACCCTTGGAAGGAGGCAAAATTCTACTACAACTACTAATACCTATACTAAAAAATACAAAACATAAAATTTAATAAAGTCTTTTATAACAACTGTATAGGGATTAATAGTAAACTAGAACTTGAAATTAATAATTGGACGCTTGTCCTACACAGACCCCTCCCTTTCTCTACCCCCTCTCTCCGAATTTTAGCTAGGTATATAAAATGGTATCAATTATTTTTATATTTATTTAAATATATGTATGAAGTAATAGTTTTACCACAACGACAACAAAATTCCAGTGTTTGCTCGTTTTTGTCGTTAAAATCATAGACCAGTTTTGTAATATTTTTCTAATATTAGTGCAGTTTGTTTTAAAAGTTTCCGTATCAGTTTTTGTGCTTTCGACTTTTTTTAATTGAAAATTGCAAACATTAGTTGTGGTTGACAATTTATTCAAACACAACAACGATTTTTATCAATGGAAAACGAATGGATGTAGAATGCTGAAAATCGAACCAATTTCCTGAAGTTCCTGCTATCTAATATGCTAATCGATTCGAACGTTGTATATTTTATTGTCGAACGAAATCAATTAGATTCAGATCAAATATTCATCACCTCTGTCGCCTATAAATACGGACGAGACCATCCTTAGAATCAGACGAACTTCAGTGTTCTCCCAACAACTAAGCTGAAAATCACCTTCAGCCGTTGCATTTTGCTTGAGCACATTTCGATCTCCGAACAACGAAAAGAAACAATCGTCAACATGTTTCAATTTTTGTACTTCACCCAACTGTCGGCCGTACTTTTGCTTCTATTGACCGTAATCGTCGTGTACATTATCTACAACAGCATCGAAAGAAAATCAGCTGAAGAAACTGCCGATTGTCTGCCACAACCGCCAACACCAAGAGGACTACCAATCATTGGACACTTGCACCTTCTCGGCGGCTACGAGGTTCCATACCAGGCCTTCAGTGCCCTTGGTAAAAAATATGGAAATGTAATTGGTCTCAAGTTAGGAACCGTCAAGAGTGTCATTGTCAATGGACAGGAATCTATCAGGGAAATTTTGGTCACCAAGGGACACCATTTCGACAATCGACCCAATTTCGAAAGATACCAACATCTATTCGGAGGCAATAAAGAAAACTGTAAGTATCCCGCTATCTTCTTAAATCTATAATCCCTTTAAAATAATTTTGGATAATTAATTATTTTTTTTATGTTGCAGCTCTTGCATTTTGCAATTGGTCTGAAACCCAAAGGACAAGGCGTGAAATTCTACGAGCTTACACCTTCCCAAGGGCGTTCACTAACAAGTTCATCTCACTGGAAGAAATTGTTAACATCGAAACTGACAAGATGTTATCACAACTTTCTTCAAACAACGTAACCTTCAAGCCACTCCTCCTCCAGAGTTGTGCCAACATCTTCACCGGTCACTTTTGTTCACGTAAATTCACTTACGACAACAAGAACTTTGCCCAAATGGTGGACAACTTCGATGGCGTCTTCTACGAAGTAAATCAAGGTTATGCGGCAGATTTTCTACCATTTTTGTTGCCCCTTCATTACAAAAACATTGCCAAAATGAACAACCTTGCTCACTCGATCCGGAAATTCATCGAAGAAGACATCATTGGAGATAGATACAACACCTTTTCCGACGATGAACCATCAGATTTCGTTGAAAGTTTAATCAAACACGTCAAACATACTGAAGATTCGAAAATGGACTGGGACATGGCTTTGTTTGCATTGGAGGACATTATTGGGGGACATTCTGCGATAGGGAATTTTCTTATGAAACTACTGGCATACATCGTAAACGAACCTGAAGTCCAACGCAAAATTCAAATGGAAATTGATTCAGTAACACTCGAAGGATCATCATTCAGGAAAGTTTGCTTGTCTGATCGATCCGCCTGCCCATACACTGAAGGGGCTATTTTTGAAGCAATAAGACTGATTGCATCCCCTATTGTACCACGAGTTGCCAACCAAGATACTTCAGTCAATGGTAAGCATTAGTAAAGCCATAACATAACCCAACTATGACACTCACTCACATTAAATTAGAAATATAAGATCTAATGTTCGTTTTTGTTTTGTTTCCAGGTTTCAGAATCAAGAAGGACACATTGGTGTTTCTCAACAATTATGATCTTAGCATGTCAGAGAAGCTCTGGGACGAACCAGAGAAGTTTTTGCCGGAAAGATTCGTTGTGGACAACCATGTGGTGAAGCCGGAGCACTTTTTACCATTCGGGGGTGGTAGAAGAAGTTGCATGGGTTACAAAATGGTTCAGCTGGTTAGTTTTGGAATTCTGGCGTCTCTTCTTCAACAATTTACCATTCAACCTTTACCCAATGAACAGTATAAAGTACCCATTGGTAATTTAGCTTTGCCAAAAGATACGTTTTCTTTTAAATTTGTAAGAAGAAATTTGTAATTTCTACAAGGAGAGATTGAAAGTACTGAAGCAATTTGACCCACAGGAAGCTGCATTTTGTATCAAAATGGAGTCTCCCTTCTTTTGTTATAAGAAATAAAAAAATAATTGTTTTGTAATTTTTAATTATTATTATTATTATTATTGTACAAAATANTTTATACACCAAAGAATTCTCAATAAAATTAATAATCCAAATTTCCGTCTTTAAAGTCTAAAAACACTATATTTAACTATGTTTCTAACTAAAAAAGGTAAAGTTGAGGTTATGTAATATTTCCTTAATACTTCTCGGGGATAATCTCCATTACAACAAAAGTTACATTAATTTTTACTGCTTTAAAGTAAAGGAGATTTTTCACAACTTGAATACCTTCGAGTCTAGTAACTGTACCATTTTCATAATTGTAGTTCAATGCCAGAAATAAGAAGGGTGGCATTTTTTTCAAGTCCATCTTTTTGAGAAATTCTAGTTCTTTAGTATTACGTTCCATTTATGTGTAGACCTAACTAAATTACTATGACCTTCCCATAAACAATAAACAAACTAACCAAAAGCGTATAGAATACTATTCCTTCGTAATTAAATCGTTATTATTAATAAATGACGAAGCCCTTGGTGAATCTTTACGGTTATTTAAAATAAATAAAAGCCCTTGGATTGTTTACAATTATTGGAAACCCCTTATTAGGAGGATCTATTGATTTCGTACCATCGCTCCTGTTCATGAATTAAATAAATAAATTGTGAGCAGCCCAAGAAGAGAGTGTGTTAATTAAATATCTTAATTGATAATTATTAAACAGTAACAAAAGGAGCTACAAATAGAAAATTGTAATAAAATGTACCGATTATTTTATAATTTTTCGCTAAAGGTCTATTAAGGTCTCATCATCATAAGGTCGTCAGTCCTAAGACAGGTTGGACACACACCTCCACTCGATCCTATTCTGAGCTAATCTTCGCATTTCCCTAAAACTAGAACAACCCACATCCTTAACTGTTTGTAAACAGTAATCTAATCTAGGTTTACTTCTACCCCTACTAACTCGTTTCTGCCCCTAATATGTCTCTGACTAGACCTTCATGCCTGAGTTGTCCTACCAACCTATCTCGCCTATTTCTTCTTGACTTCCATAGAGTCCTCTGTTCTCTTATTCTTTCTAATACCTCTTCATTTCTAACCTTCTCTATCCACGGCATCCTCATCATTCGCCTGTAACACCACATTTCGAACGGTTCTAACCTTTTCTTTCCCGCCGCGCCCACCGCCCATCTTTCGCACCCGTACTCAGCCGCGCTTCAAACACATCTTTAACAATCTTTTTCGAATTTTTAAATTAATCATTTAATATCGCTACTACTCCTTCCGTCCTGACTTATCTGACATCCTAGATACCTAAAATCAGCTGCTTCTTCTTATTTTTCGTCTCCTATCTTAATATTCGCTCTTTCCCTACTGTTTATTCCTTGCATGCCAGTATTTTTGTTTTACTTTTATTTATTTTCATGCAATACTGTTTTGTCAATACCACTTCCATATTATTTAAAGCTATCTCTCACTCCTCTTTGCTAGATGCTTATATTGCTATTTCATCTGCAAATCTAAGCGTACTAATATTTTGCCCCTGTATATCTATCCCTACAGTTATCCTGTCTTTAATGATTTTGATGGCGTCTTCGATGTATAGATTAAAAAGTAGCTGTGACAGTGTGCATCCCTGTCTGACTCCCTTCCTAATATTTACTTATCTACGTTGCAGCCCCAGCTCTATAACTGCCTGTTGCTCTTTATACAAACTAAGTATCACTCTTATATCTCTGTAACTCATCCCTCCTACATTTTTAAGTATATTTATCATCTCGTCCCATTATTAAAGTGTACATAAAAATATTTATGAAAATGTTATTTGCATGTTTTTATTATTTTATTTTATCCACCCTTTCCTGTGCAGACGTTGATAATTACCATTTGTAACAAATGTTAATCAGAGTGATTGTTTTGAAATGTGCCTAACAATACACGATAAATCTTGAACAAAATGTCCTTAGATGAGAACATTTTCCGTTGCGCGACCTTCCTTAACAATAAGATGTGACGTAGATCTAGTGTGTACGTAAACGATAAACACAAACAGCGATTACCTTGAATTCACAAAACCCTTTAACTCATCGCATGCATTTGAAGTTACTATTTTTATTATTATTATCGTTATTGCATTCACTTCAACAAAATTGATTTCGTTTCAATCGGAAGCTATTAACAACTGACGATGGCGTTAAATACTATTTTTAGCATCTGTCATGGTAAAGGCAACGTTAAATAAATTAACTATTTGTTTGCATTAGGAACAACATGGTGCTAATTACTAGTCTTGCGCAATGATGAATCATAATCAAAAATCAAGATTCCATCTGTAAGACATGACAAAAGGCAAACTGCAGTCAATTGTTGTCAAAAACATTCCTATCCCTATTTAATCCTTTTACTGTAGTATGGTGCCAGGAACCCGAGAAAACGCTGTATAAAACCCCCTGATCATTATTTAAATATTTTGACGTATTCAGATTTTAACACCTATACCATGTACATACCTACGCATGTTATGGTTAATATGTTTACCTAGTTTGTAAACTAACTGGATATTGGATAGTATATAAACTGTCTAAACGTTTGGTTTGTCAGATACGCATTGATACGCATTGGTTTATAAAGTTAGGTTAGATTAGGTTAGGTTAGGTTACGTTAGGTTAGGTTGAGAGAAGATACGAGAATACTTTGATGAAAACATAATATAAACTAAATAAATTCGTCGTTCGGTTGAATATAATTCAATAATACGTCTAATCTTGCTTATAATGCAAAAGTGTTTGGATAATTCAGAATGGGGGATTTGTTAATGTTGTCTATTTCAGATTCCAGATTCTTAGAAAAGCAAACAGGTCTGTAGTAAACAATAACAAAAAGTGATGTAAGCTTTTCCATCATTCAAGATAAATCGCCATTATGGCTTCCTGTTAACAAAAATAGAACGTGTATTCGTATAAATAAAGAAAAGTGTACTAATGTGACAAATGCTTTCTTTTAAAGTCTCAAGGCGCTTCAGCTTTCCAGAAAAACAAACCATAAATAGGCAAATAATTCCAAAGATAAATAAAATTGAATTCAATCAAAAGCACAAAAACAATTGGACAATTGTTGTAGCTGATAACTATTGTACAAAGGTACAATTGCACTAAACTACACCGTGACTTTCACAACTTTATATAATATACACCCACATATTATTTTCTATACTAGCATTGTGTTCTTTAAATCGAGTTTCTAAGTGAATAGTTGTTTGGCTAATATAGACAACTTTTTATTTTATTTCTTCATTAAAAAAAGAGGCTTTAAAAGGTGACATAACAGCCCAATTTTGTTTCAAAAATAATACGGATTTTGTGTTGACATTAAAAAATTTATTCAACAAAACAGACACCAAATAGACTTATTCAACGGTTTTGATTGTTTTACATATGACATGAACTTTTCGAAGAACTGTTTCTACACGACGATCTCTGGATCAGTCCCGAAAGTGGTCCAGTTATTCAACGTTGGACTAATTAAAAGCAAGGGGGAATTTGAAATGATAATTTTGAGGAAATGGTTCTAAAAATGGTAATCGACAAAAGGTCAAGCACATGTATGATGCAGAATCCAACAAGAGAATGGGGACAAAAAATACTTGTATTATGTACTTTACTCAAATCTGAATTGTAAATTATTAGAATTCTGGATTGATTTGAGTGCGATTGTATAAACTTTCTTTCTTGTAAATTTGTCCAAAGACCACAAAAAAAGAACTTCACTTTTTACCTGATTGTTATTTTTTAAAAATACTTGAATCCAAGTTGAAACGTTTATTAATTAATTAATTTTGTTTGCTAATAATAGGTAATGTAGTTTATAAGTCCACAATTTGAGTTTCAATATCTTTGGGAAATTTAAGTTTGAATTGAGATCCTCACTCTATAATCCCGTATAAAATTAATAACTCAAAATAAATTACAGACAAAAATGTTTATGGATCTGATATCAAACGATACTAATTCAATCAACACAATACCCTCTTTGATGAGCAATTTCAAACTGAAATATCTCATTGGTTTCTAAAATATTTCAGGCCGTTTGGCGAAAGAATGCTCTCTTTGATGGACGATTTCAAAATAATAAAAATTGGTCTGAGCACAGTTTGGTCGGTGCTAATACGACTAACTTCCCATTAGATAATACAGTTATTGTAAAGTACATTCGTTTCTAAAGTTTGAAAAAAACGCGGCACAATAATAAATAACAAACAATGTTTGAGAGTTCGTCATTTTATAAACCCATAAGAAACAGTATTTCGTCTGAGAAAACCGAATTGATAGAGTACTTGCATCAGTCAATTGGTAAATACTATTTTTTATTGTTTATCGATTGTTTATAACAATTCATTTTGTTATAAACAAATTTTTATTATAATATGTTATTATAATATGTTATTCCCTGTCTTGAATAATGATATTTCGTTATTATTGATTCCGTAACTTCATTGTTGTGATTAGATTAGAACGTATTTTAATTAAATTGTTTGTAATTAATTCGTTTTTTTTTTTATAAAAAAAAAACGGCTTGACCGATTTCGTTCAAATTTCTTTCAGATCTTCATTATGATAATATCTTTCGAAAAAATTTTGGTTGAGGGCGATATCTCAATCCGTTCTTGAGATATCGAAAACGAAAAAAATGCTGACATACGAACGTACGTACATACGTACGTACGTACGTACGTACGTAC